TTTACATCCCAGCACAGTAGTCTTACACTAGCAGACATATTTATCTATAGAAGAGGTACACATAGATTTATCCTTGTTGACAAGTAAAAAAGAAAAAAATGATATTTTTTAAAAAGACAGAGGACACTTAATGGAAAGCTCTCTATCTTCCCAAATAAACAGCAGGAAGTAAGCTTGAAAAAGATGATTTTTCAGTGCATGAGCTGAAACTTAGCTTCCTGGATGCGAGGTAAACATCTTCACAGGCTTAAAAAAAAGTCCAGTTGCCTTTTTGTTCAAGTTGTTCAACAGGAAAGAAGAAAAACATTTAGAGCATTCACATTCATCCATCCTGTCAATGACCCGTACTACCACTATCACTCTCACAGTGAACTCATTGTCCTGATCATGGAACCAGTTTTAGACTTTGTGGAGTCTCCAGTTTGAACTAAAAGTTAATGTCAGGCCACCACACAGCTGTTATGCCTAGTTGATGCTTGACAACCTAATAAAATCTGGACTTTTTACATTTGGTTGTGAACAACAGGTGCACATGTGTTTCTAATAAAGTGGTCTGTAAGTGTACAAAGCTTATTATTGGTTTAAGTGCAGATTAAGGTTGTTAGCACTTTCCACGTCCCCATCCATCCCAACACCTCTCTTTTGTCTCAGGCCAGTGATAGCCCGCATTCCATTCCACACCTCCCTGGTGTTGTTTTCCTGCAGTTTGTTTTCCAGCCTCCGTCTGTAGGACTCTTTACCCTCTGCAATCTTGGCTTTCAGCTCCTTCTTTCAACAGGAAAGAAGCAAAAACATTTAGAGCATTCACATTCATCCATCCTGTCAATGACCCGTACTACCACATCCCACTTCTCAGGTGAACACAGACACTCTCACAGTGAACTCATTGTCCTGATCATGGAACCAGTTTTAGACTTTGTGGCATCTCCAGTTTGTACACTAAAAGTTAATGTCAGGCCACCACACGGCTGTTATGCCTAGTTGATGCTTGACAACCTAATAAAATCTGGACTTTTTACATTTGGTTGTGAGCAACTGTGTTCTAACTCATACCTGTGTAATTTACAAACTTCAGTTTGTTGTTTAAACCAACTGAATCAGCCTGTGTGTAAACCCAAAACTTACGCCGCCCCTCTGACCCCCTCATACTACATTTAGTTGCTGTTTTTAGAGAGGAGGAGTTTCAGTCGTCTTGTTTGCATAATCAAAGGAGGTGACAGCAGTCTCCCGAGTCTGCTAATAGGTGAAGGAGTCCACCAATATTACCAATATCTAGGGGAGAGAAAACTGATAAAAGCCACTTCAAATTGACTGATAACAAACTGACTGATATTCAAACCCTCGTTCACTGACATTAAGCTGATCAAAATGTCTGGGTTATGGATTTGTACTGCTGATGTTAAATGTTGAGCCAGTTCTGTCACTAATGATGAAGTTTCAGTCGGCGATCTTGTGTTTTCACCTTCCTGATCTTGGATGTGAACATTAACTGCAGCTCTTCACGTCTGTCGGCAGGAGTTTAGGACTCTCGGTGCTGCCACATGACTGCATCAGTGAGCAGGTGCACATGTGTTTCCAATAAAGTGGTCTGTAAGTGTACAAAGCTTATTATTGGTTAACGAAACATGATGTGTGTTAATGGTTAAACTACCAGACTTTCAGACTGAAGGCCAGAGTCTGCATCCTGTGTAAAAATGCAAAATATAGATATTTTTTCTTAGTTAAGACAAGATAAAGATTGTTGCTT